TTGGACTTCAAAGGCAAAACAAGGCTATGTTAGTCATTACTGACCCAGGAGACGAAGAAACCAATTAAAACATCTTCTCATGTTTTATCCTCTGGTGGTGCTATCAACATCAAGGTGAAGGGCTAGTCTAGAGCATGCAAGGAGGAGGTGCTAGTGCTTCCTGCCTGGTGTGGATTTGGGGGGGACCACCTGACTCAGCCAAATGTATCATTTATATAGGAAGCTGGAGCTTCTACCATATAAAATACCCAAAGATAGGCAGGCTCTTAGAAATTTCTTGGATTCATTGGCAAAGAATGGCTGAAGGTTCTTGGAACTTGCAGACCCCTTGCTCAAGAAAGTCTTATGATCAGGGCATTCAAATAATCCACTTCTTCATGGCCTCCTGCCTAGGGGCAGATCCAGGTTTCAGGGAGTATGAAACCTCTGTAATTAGAGAGAGCCCTCTTAAAGACAAAGACTATATAATTAGGAATGCAAAATTAGGTATGAAGTGAATGTTTATTTGGAATAGAATGGTATCAGAGGAAATTTTGAAATTCCAAATACTGAAAAATTTTAAATAATGATAAACTCCACAAATGTCAAAATACCTAAATCTTTATACTAGATATGCCTCTAGAGAAACTTTTTTTCCTACTTTTTTCTACAAAGTCTCTCATAGCTTCATTATTTGGTTAAATTTTACAATTTTTCTGTAGAGAGAATAGATCATTCCCTCTTTTAGCATGGTTGATTGAAAACTGATATATTTTTTTAATTTTTTTTTTTGAGACAGAGTCTCGTTCTGTCACCAGGCTCCAGGCTGGAGTGCAGTGGCACGATCTCAGCTCACTGCAACCTCCAGGATTCAAGCAAGTCTCCTGCCTCAGCCTACCGACTAGCTGGGACTACAGGTGCACACCACCATGCCCAGCTAATTTTTGTATTTTTTTAGTAGAGACGGGGTTTCATCATGTTGGCGAGGATGGTCTCGATCTCTTGATCTCATGATCTACCCGCCTCGGCCTCCCAGAGTGCTGGGATTACAGGCGTGAGCCACTGAGCCCGGCCTGAAAACTGATTTTTAAAAATAGTTTAGAAATGTTTCTTTCAGTTTCACCATTTGTTATTGGTAGTTTTACCACTACGTTATTGGTACAACTTTTAGGACTATTGCATTTTAGAGAAACCCTTACACATTTCTTTCATATATGGTAGGAGCTGTATAAGATTTCAGGACATTTCGGCCAGGCACAGTGTCTCATGCCTGTAATCCCAGCACTTTGGGAGGCTGAGGCAGGTGGATCACCAGAGGTGAGGAGTTCAAGACCAGCCTGGCCAACATGGCAAAACCCTGTTTCTACTAAAAATACAAAAATTAGCCGGGTGTGGTAGCGCGCACCTATAATCCCAGCTATTTGGGAGACTGAGGCAGGAGAATCACTTGAATTCAGGAGACAGAAGTTGCAGTGAGCCTAGATCACACCATTACACTCCAGCCTGAGTTACAGAGTGAGACTCTGTCTCAAAAAAAAATAAAAAATAAAAAGATTTCAGGGCATTTCATGTTGTGTGTGTGTCTATGTGTGTGCATGTATACATACACTTGCCAACTGAATCTTAAGTGTTCTTTGAATGGATGAGTTTATCATTTTGCCATCAGTTTTGTGTTGGTCCCTGCATATTTATGTTAATATGGTGGATAGTAAAAGTATTACTGGAAGCCATTGCTACTGATATTGTTGGAATAATTTAACTAGACACAGAGTGCCTGCAAATTATGTAACTATATCCCCAGTGAATCAAAATTAAATGTCAGTCCTACACAAAGTCCCTTAGGTGGGTCCCCAGGATTCCCATAGATACTCCCATTGCCACCCAACTCAAAGGAAAATGTGGTAAAGAAGTCCTATTGAAGCGAGACAGTGATCTCCACAGATGAGTGTAAATAACCTACTTTTGCAAATTAAAAAAAAAAAAAAACATGATCATGTGACCCTATTACCAGGGTATTTCCCAGGGCCTTGGAAGGTGCCGATGCAAGCAAGAAGCCCTTGACACATGAGCTCCATGGTAGATCTACATGTAAAAGTTTACTCAACTTAATCTAGGCCGACTTCCCTGGATGGTGGCCAGCTAGGCTTCCTTCACTCATCACTACATGCTGAGAAATGACTGGCATTTCAATCCAACTCAGTTGCCCAATATTTCCTCAAATTAAAAACCTTGCCAGTTTGGGGTTCCATTCCTGAATATCCCCACCTTCATATAGTAGACAGAAAAAAAAGCCAAGCTTTGAGGAATGTTTCATAAGAAGAAAGTTAGTTTAGGTCCAACCTTTCCATCTGCAGTAGAGAGGACTTCCCTCCATCGTGTAGGGCCCTTGTCTACATAAATAATCAGAATCACTCCAAGTCGGTGTGTCAGCACCATTCTGGTAGCCCACTCTCTTACAGTCCCACAAAAGATATACTGTATTGGCCAGTAGCAGTAGTTAGCTTGCCTGGCTGCCCTCCCTGGAACAAGGGCCTGGCCTTGAGCCTTTAAAACAACCTGATAAAGACATGAGTCCTGGTGCTCCTTGGAACATCTGATTGGTTGCATGGGTGGGTTAGAAAGTTGGAGCAAACTATGAAGGGGAGAAACGAAGCCTGGAACTGAGGCCCATGCAGGCCTGGGTCTAGGTCCAGGCCTGAGGTATTCTACCTGAATGACACCATCCAGTCCTGGGTGTCGGAGGGGGACTTAGAACATTCTGAGGAGGGTGCTTGAAAGCACCGGGCACCTGAGGTACCTGTGCCCACATCTAATGGCAATACTAGAGAATTTTTTTTTCTTTTGTTTTTGTAGCAATGACTGAAGTGTTTAAAGATAGAACCTGCTGGAAAAGCTGAACTTTCCCTGGAATTGTTCACTGTCATTTTAATTGGCTCTATTTAAATAATTTTCCTGGAGAATATGATGAGTGAACTTTAGTAAGTGTATTTTGCCTCCATTGATTTTGATTCCTGGCCACCCAGCCCTCTGTACTCCCAACCTCATTCCCCTGGTGGGACCTTCTTTCTAGTCTCTGCATGAACTTCCATTCTCACCTCTTCATTTGAGCCTTCCTATCTGGCTATCTCTGAATGTTGTGAAAGATTAGAGAGTTTGGCAACAAACTTCCATGTCCCTTTTTCTGTCTTTAGGAAGCAGGGAGGATGTTGGTGAATTGAAGCCAACAGCAAATGAGTGTGCTCACAACTTTCTTTTGCTAGTTTCTTCTTTTTCTAGTTTCTCCCTCTCTTGCTAGTTCCCCCCCTTTTTCTAGTTTCCCCCTCTCTTACTAGTTCCCCCCTCTTTTGCTAGTTTCCCCCCCTTGGTAGTTCCCCCCTCTTTTGCTAGTTTCCCCCTCTCTTGCTTGTGCTCTGCTTCTCATTGTCTCCTGCTGCACTCACCTAGTGTACAGCATTTGGCCTTGCACGTGATGGTGGCAGAGCATGTGTGTAAAGAATGCTTGAAAGAACTTAGTTTGGAGAATAAAAGGTTTAAGGAAGACATGTGAGCTTCAAATATCTGAAGGCTTGTCATGTGGAAGGGAAGAAGCCTTATTCTTTGTGACCCCAAGCAGTTAAATTGGGTCAGTGAGTAGAGGTTAGGGAAAGATTCAGTTCCAAGGGAAAGAAAAACCATTATGGTTGTCAGAAATGGAATGTGCTCTGTTGTGGTGACCACTTGGTAAATATATTAGGGACCTGATTCAGACATTGGTTGGATCTGGAGTTCATGCTTTTGTAGCAAGTTGAAATGAAGTATGAGAAAATGTGTATCACATCCCAAGGTTAGATACAACCTCACAGAGGAAGAACATCCCCCCACTTTTTTTTTTTTTTTTTTTTTTTTTACCTTCTTCTCCATCTGGGAACTGTACTCTGAGTCTTTGACTCTTGCATATGGCATTTTATTTACCCTTGTATGTTTTGCTCCTGTAGCTCTGCTGCCATTTCCTGGCTGGGACCCCTTTTTATCTGCTGACCTGCTTAATTCCTCTCTCATGTGTCCCTGGAAGTCATGGCCTAACCATGCATGCCTATCTAATCACCTTATGTAGGCTCTCCTCATCTCTATGTGGCTTAAGCCAGGAGTTAGTATGAGGACTAGGCTGTCACTAAACCCTTTCCAATACCTGTGATTCTGTGAATCTATGGCCTTTGCCTTGTTTGTTTTGGCTGTGATTGGACAGTGGGTCCCAGTGGAGGATGGCTGCTGGAATAATCTCCCCCATGATGCCCCCCAGTGGAGGATGGCTCCTGGAATAATCTCCCCCATGATGCCCCCCTCTGACTTTTCTCTTCCATTCTCTAATTCCCCCACTAACAGAGAAAGGAGAATATATTTTAATGAGGTCTTCTGAAATACTTTCTGTTTTTTTGTTTTGTTTCTTTGAAACAGTCTTGCTCTGGTCTCCTAGGTTCAAATAATTTTCCTGCCTCAGCCTCCTGAATAGCTGGGATTACAGGTGCTCCCACCATCATGCCCAGTTAATTTTTGTATTTTTAATAAAGACAAGATTTCACCATGTTGGCCAGGCTGGTGTTGAACTCTTAACCTCAATTCATCTGTCTGCCAGGGCCTCCCAAAGTGCTGGGATTACAGGTGTGGGTCACCATACTTGTCCCTTGTTTTCATTACTAGAAAAGAATTAAGTTTTATGGTTATTCATGCTGTGAAACTATTTTACTCTATGGAATCTTCCCTTTTATCATGTTTTAAAAACAGAACGATGAAAGAAAAGTATGATGACACAATCAAGTTTATTTATTCTTCCTCAAATGACCTGGACTTAGACTAACCTGCCCAGCGAAAAGTTGGGCTGTGTTCCCAGGAGTGGGAGTGGAAAAGTAGCAATACCGTATACCCACAGCTGAATTTATTTCAGTCCTCACCCCGTGGTCTCACAGGGGCACACTGGGCTCATCCGCCTATCCTCCTTGCTTAGCCTTTTGTCTTTTTGGACCAAGATCCTTAACCTTTGTCACATCACCGATTTGGAATATCTCCTGGATCACTTGGCAGAAGTGACACCAGCTCTGGAGTACCTCAGCCTGCTGGGCAATGTGGCCTGTCCCAACGAGCTGGTCAGCTTGGAAAAGGATGAGGAGGACTACAAGAGATACAGGTGAGTATCCAGGGGTTGGAGCGTGGTGGGAAAAGGGGAAAATAGAAGCTTTAGGGGATGATACTGTACTCTGGGGTGCATAGTAGATGTTTGGTAAATATCAGTGGGCTTCCCATGACAATGTTAAACTTTTAGCTTTTGGTAACCTACAGCCATTGTCTCCCTTGGTTGAGGTCACAAAAACTAAGAAAGATGAAAAGTCATTGCCTTGTCTACTTTTTTTGTGATGTGTCAGATATTAAGTATTTAGGTTTTGCAAGTTATATGGACTCTGTCACAACTACTCAGCTCTGCTTTCATAATGCAGAAGTAGCCATACGTAATTTGTGAACAAATGGTCATGGCTTTGTTCCAGTAAAGCTTTATTTATAAAACAGGTGGCAGTCCAGATTTGACACATGGGCTGTCACTTGCTGACCCCTGCTCTGTGTTGTAAGATCTTTCTGTGGTCTGTCTCAGAGTCACTTTGCAGAGAGAGATGACTTCCCACCAAAATTTAGGGAGCTCATATACAATTTCAAGAAGTCCCACAGGCCCATACCTCTCCACCATAGAGCTCTGCCACAGTGTCCCCCAGCCATGCACTTTGATGGGCTCCAAGTAGAGATGCTTTTCATTCTTCTGTATGCTTCTCACCCATCTGCTTTAAAAGCCCCGATCCGAAGTCATTTAGAGAGTCTTTTTGGTCTTACCTGTTTTACCAAACTCACTTAATTTTCCTTCTTCATTTAAAATTGTATGTGCTCTCATTGTTGATTGTTGTTTTGTAAATGCTTTAATGACCTTTTCATATATCTAGCCTCTCTCTCCATTATGACATAAGCTGTCATTAAACATCCCACCTGAATCAATGTAGGAAGGAAGGAAGGAAGAAAGGAGGGAAGAAAGGAAGGAAGGAAATATTAGTCAGGTAGGTTCTTGGAAAATAGATTTGGAAGAGTTGGGGGAAAAGGATAAGGGTTGGGGGGAACTTGTTCTATTTGGACTTACATAAAAATCTGTCATAATGCATGAAGGAAAGTAGTTGGGGGCCTTCATTTTGTATAAAGGCAAAGCTGTAAGAAATACTAAAGGCTATTGAACATTATAGATTAAAACACACATAAAAACACTTACATGTGGGGAGAATCTGGGGGAGAATTTTGTACCTTTAACTTCATTTTCTAGAATTCTTCATTAATTTTATTCTTTTTTTTTTTTGAGTCGGGGTTTCACCATGTTGGTTAGACTGGTCTCGAATTCCTGACCTCAGGTAATCCACCCGCCTCGGCCTCCCAAAGTGCTGGGATTACAGGCGTGAGCTACTGTGCCCGGCCTTCATTAATTTTATAGGGATCTAAGAGGGTTATTACCCTATCTTAGAACAAAGCTCTAACCCTACTTTTAAAAAGAATATTAAATCTTTCTCCATCATGAAGGTTTTCATTTGGAATATAATGGTATAGATTTGAATGTAACTTCTATTAAGAGAAATACAGTTAAAGTCTAGCAATTGGATACTTACAAATTACTAAACCCCTGTTTTTCAAGTCACCTAATCACTTAGAACTTGATTTGCTTCTGTAATACTTTTACAAACTTTGAAGCATTTAGCAGCCTGATTTCAGGTGGGAATGAGTCACTTAGCATATTTTTTCTTCTTGAAGCAACTTATTTTAGGATATGTCTTGGAAGGGCCAAGCACATCTAAGAACATAAACAATAAACATTTTTGGAAAACCAAGATTTAGGAAATTCTTATTTGTTTTATAACTTTTTTCTTTAGATTTCTGTGTATAACTCTTAAAAATAATAAATTTTGTATATGTGCATATGCATATATGTCTTTGTTTATACATATATAATTATATGTGTGTACACACATTTACACACTTGTTCATTCATTCATTTGTCCAGTAAGCTATGTGTGAAATCAACCATGTAGGCAAGCTTTTGTTGATTTTTTCTGGAGAGAGATAGAGAGGGAAGTTTCCAGTTCCACATTATTGGTCTCAAGTACAGGACTTATGAGGTTGCAAAAGGAAAAGAAAAGCTAATATAATTTTTTTCTTTTCTTTTTCTGTACCATCAGCTCTCAAATAATTACTATTTTTTTTTTTCTATTGTGACTGATTGGATTAGCAAAAGTACTAAGACCAAGGTATACAGGGTCAGATCAGAAGATCCGATGTGGAGTCCAACTTTGCCAGTGGGACCTATAATATGGAAGAACGGTCTAGATCAGTATTCCATAACCAAAGATAAGCCTCTGAGTCCTCCAAGGCATTCTGATGCAGTTGGTGGCAATTACAACACAGCAGTCCATAGGTGTTTCTGATGTCCAGTTGGCTTTAGCATTCTGACACACTCTGCTCCCAACCAGTTCCTTTTCTTCCTTTACTGTCTCACACCATTTTATATATTTTATCTTGTGTATTTCTCTTATTTCTTCATATATTTCCACATCTAGAGAATGGCTTCCAGTGGGTAGGAGCTGAGTCGTCTTGACTCTTGAAGCCTCATCAATGCCTCAAGCGGTACCGGATATGAGAAAGAGGTTTGGTACCTTTTTTTTTTTTTTTTTTCTTTTTTTCTGGAGGTGATTTGAAGCCACCTTTTCTTCTCAGGAGCTGGGAACTTATAGCGAGATACAGGGACCCTTAGCCACCTCAGATGCCTTCTGCCCATTTGGAATCAGATTCATTTGGATGTCAAGAAAGGCAGCTATTAAGCAAAGGACTGTGATTCAGACTCCATCCAAGTGCTGGTTATGGGTCATGAATCTTTATGGAGGGCTAGATTCCACAAGTGTGGTCTATCTCATCAGCTAGCCTGGCTACCCTCTAAGCCCATCCTCCCCACTCCATTTCTGTTTCCTTGGAAGGATTTGAGGTGTGGGGTTAGAGAGGTGGTTTGTGAGTGTGCGGATGACAAAGTTGCCATGAGAGGCTAGATTCTAGAGGTTACACAAAGCCAAAATCATACCTAGTCAAAATTAACTTAGAAAATTCATGTCATCCACAGGGGTGGCAAGATGCTTGCATTACTGGAGAAATGGGAACTAAGAACAGTACAAGGAACAGTGAATATGTTTCCATGTAGTTACACATTCAGTGCACAGCAACTGGCTATAGAGTGGAATGGTAGGCGGATTCTCTAGCATATTTAAATTTTTTATTCATTTAATCTCTTTATTTTTTACTGTTGGTTTGATGAGCGCTTACACTTGTATATGGAAGAGATAGATATGTGTTTGATATCCTTCCATTCATTGGTTTGTAAGCAGATCCGCTTTGTCCTTCCTGGAGTTTGTGCTCCATTTGACACTGAGAAATTTTAGGGTTTTGCAATGTGACTTTTGATTCTAGAGTTCCTGTTGCATTTGTGTTTATACAAAGCAATGCAGCTGCCTTTTTTTTTTTTTTTTTTTAATTTTGGTAAGACATTTTCCTGGCCCTTTATCCACAAAGCATGAGGTTTTCCTTCCTTCTAGCTGTTACCCAGAGCCTAATAGTAGAGCTTCTATGTAAATTTATGTGACATTTTCACTAGAAAATTGCTTAAAAATGAATGATATATCTACAGTTTACTGTTTTTCACTTTAAGTACATTTTCTGACAATATGTCTTCTATTAATCATTTAAGCAATACTAGGAGCCTTAAAGGAGTGTATTCAGAAGCAAGAACCCATGGTTCATTTAGTGCTGTCTGAAAAAATTTCTTATTGATTGGCATCCTCTGTGGTTATGTGATGTAATATTTATAATATGTCACCCAGCCATACATCAAAACAAGTGTGTCTGTTGTTTCGTTTCCATGGGAGATGTTGATTTCAAAGAGGTCAGCTCAGTTTTAGGTCACGTTGTGGCCAGCCACTGGACCAGAAATGGGAAGTGACTCGATTTATGTAGTTATTGGAAATGGCATCACGGAGCTTGAGTTTCTGCGGAGTCTTTCCTCCCCTCCTCCTACATCCACCCCTTTCACTTCCTCACTTACCCCCTGTGCACCCAGTTGGGTTTTCTTGGCACACATCCCCATCATAAAACAGGCTCATTAAACTTATATGTGAGCATGAACATACTACCAAGTTGCTGAGTAGCGCCCTGGCCCCACTGGGGCAGGAGCAGAACCATGCCTGGGGTTTCTCTTTTCCATTCATCATAGTTCATGGCTGAGAAATGTCCACAGCCCTGTTATTATAGGAGCTTAAACCTGTCTGCTTTTCGGTGTGTACACACCATGCTGCTATTTTGGGATCAATGTTGAATGGAGGTGAATGTGATAATCAGCAGCCTCCAGGATTCCGGCAGGAAGAGAACAGCAGTGCAAGGCTTGGTCAGAGAGACCACCGTGGTAACTAAGAAACCACTCTGGTGCCCCTTGTGGATTTCAACACTAGCCAAAATAACAAATCAATATGGGAAAGTTGGGTGCCCAGAATGGCCTATTTCTTGTCTTCCCTTGCAATTCTTTTTTTCTTTTTGCTATAGAAAGAACAATGGACTGAAGGTCAACGGGAGAGAAGTCTGGAGTTACCTTTCAAATAAGGAAGTCGGTCTCATGGTCTCTTAGTTCTTCTTCTGTCACTGAACCCTCTGTTGCTCATCCCCCCTGCCACTCCAGTCTCTGGTTGGCCTTGCCTTCCTCCCTCCTCCCCGCAGGCCCTTCTGTATTCCTTACAACTTTCAGTTATTTAAAACGTGAGGCCCTTTCTTTGTTCCCCTGCACAGAGCAGCCCTGGGGCCTGCCCAGTGTCTGCAGCACTCAGTCAAAGGGAAGGAGGGAGGGACCCTCTGCCGTCTGGTCGCTCTGGGCTGCCACCATTTCCCAGCAGAATAGGAGCTGTAAAACTTGTGGCTTACATAACCCAGCGAGCATTCTCTAGCTAATCTACAATCTGGGCTTTGAAGATCACAGGAAAGCAAAGGTCACGACCCAGAGATCAAAGTGACAGAAGCCCACAGAGTAATTGCCAGTTACCCTCTGTAGAGGGCCTTGGTCTGTCCTGTGGGTGTATT